ATGGGATGGGATGGGATGGGATGGGATGGGATGGGATGGGATGGGATGGGATGGGATGGGTGGGTCAGGCTCTGCCCAAGCCAGGAGCCAGCTCAGCCTCGCCTGTCCCAGTCCCATCTGCAAGTCCAAGGCTGGGGACAGCTTTTGGGCTGGGTGGTGCTTAGCTTCAAACGGTGAGGACTGTCTTGTCTTGTTGAGGTTTTGCATTTTGCATTTCAAGCCTTTGTAGCTGTGGTTTGCTGTGTCTGTGTCAGACTGAGCGGGGCTGTGCTTGCCTGGCTGCCCTAACTCTGCCAGGCTAGGGCTGATCCGGTGCCACAGCCCCTGTCTGTGCCCAGCCCTGCCAGGGGCAGTGGGGAGGATGAGCCAGTGCAGCTGTGAGGGGCTGGGGGCAGTTCTGGGTGCAGGCTCTGTGTGCCCAGCCCTGTCTGTCACCCATTCTTGGAGATGTCTGGTGGTGTTTTTGGGATGTGTCACCTCCTGGAGGTGCCTGGTGGTGTTTCTGGGATGTGTCACCCCCTGTTCTCAGCTGCAAACAGGTCAGGGTAATGGCTGGCTGCAGGAGCTGAAGCATCCCCTGCCCTGTATGCTCTCTACTGTCGGTCCCCTGCCTGCATGAGCCACGTTTCCAGCGGGGGTTGTAGGATGTCCTGAGCTGGAAGGGACCCACAGGGTTCATGGCTCCAGCTCCTGGTCCTGTGCAGGACACCCTGGCAATCCCACTCTGTGCCTGACAACATTGTCCAAACACTCCTGGAGCTCTGGCAGCCTCAGGGCCGTGCCAGCACCTCTGGGGGGAGAACCTTTTCCTAATACCCAGCCCTTGAACAGCTCCAGCTTTGCATTGGGTCCTGTCACTGTCACAGAGAGCAGAGATCTGAGCTGCTCCGTGTGAGGAAGCTGCAGACCTCAATAGGTCTGACCTCAGGCTGCTTTTGTCCAGTCTGAACAAGCCAAGTGACCTCAACTGCTTCACCTATGGTTCCTCAAGGACCTTCACCATGTTTATGCCCCGCTCTGGACACTCCCTGGTACCTTTCTGTCCTTCTTAGACTATGGTGCCCCAAACTGCATCCAGCACTCCAGGTGAGGCTGCAGCAGTGCAGAGCAGTGAGGAGCAGTCTTTTTCCTTTGGTTGTGCTGGACTAGGCACTCTGGGACATGTCTCACAGGATGGGCTGTGCTCTCATCCTCAGGGCCGTGCTGGTGTCCCCCAAGCCTGTGCTGCCCTCACCCTGCTTCTCTTCCCACAGGATCCGCCCTCAGCTGCCCAAAGAGAAGATAGAGGGATGTCACATCTGTACCTCAGTGACACCTGGTGAGCCCCAGGTGCTGCTGGGCAAGGACAAGGCCTTCACCTATGACTTTGTCTTTGACCTGGACACATGGCAGGAGAGGATCTACACCACGTGCATGGGGAAGCTCATCGAGGGCTGCTTCGAGGGCTACAATGCCACTGTGCTGGCCTATGGGCAGGTATGGGCTCTGCCCTCAGTGTGGGCTCTCCAGGGAGGCTGAGAGGGCACCTGGGGAGGCTGAGGAAGGTGGAGGGTGTTGAGTATTGATATATTACCAATATAGCCAGACAGAACGTGCCTGAGCTTTTCTGGCCCTTGGTGCTGAACCAAACAGTGGCACTGTGGTGTTTCACCCCACAGACACTTTTGNGCATGAGGAGAGGAGCCAGGTGCTGTCTGGGCTTGCCCAGCCCACCTGTCCTGACAGGCTCACAGGGCTGGGCTGTGCCCCTGGTGGGCTCTGCCAGCCCCAGCTCTGCCAGCCCACAGAGGCTGTGCCTGGGTGAGGGGCAGTGCCTCAGCAGCAGTGCTGTGGGCAGCCTTGCCCCTCTGCTGACAAGGTGGACAAGAGGTGGTGGCTGTGAGCTTCTGGGACCTGGCACAAACAGGGAAAATCCCATGGAGCTCTTCCAGCCATCACTCTCCAGCTCTCTGGCTCTGCTCCCTGGGCAGCCAGCCCTTCCTGGCTGGGCAGCCTCCCTGGGAGGGAAGAGGAACAGCTCTTTGTAGGGTCAGCAGGCAGCCAGCAGAGAGGTCTTGCAGGGACAGGAGCTCTTTGTGATCCCCAAATCTGTGAGCAGCTGCCCTACAGCCCCCTGACAGCGCTGGGAAATGCTGTAGGGTGTGTGTGCTCAGGCTGCTGGGAGGTGGAGCACCCCTGTGTGACATGGGTGATGCTGAGTGATGGATCTGGGTCCCAGCTGTGTCCCAGCAGGGTGGTGTGGCTGCTGTGTGCCCACGGGCACTTTGGTGGGGCAGGGTGTGGCTCTCACAGCTCTGGCTCTGTGCTGGAGGGCTGTGGAGTGTGCTGCTGGCTTTGGCAAAGTGCTGGGGGCCAAAGGATGCTCTGAGCCCCTTGGGGCTGTTGTGGTGCTGGGCTGGGAGACAGGAAGCTGAGACAGCTGAGTGAGGAGGACATGAACCCAGCAATCCACGTCAGCCAGGCTGTGCTTTCCCATGCAAGGAGACAGCCTCTCTTGAGAGTGCTGGGGCTGCCATGGTGTGTGTGCCCTCACTGGGGATACTGGCAGTGCCCAGCTGACCCCATCCCTGTGCCTCTTGCAGGGCTTGAGATGCTGGAATGGGGACATCCCTGCCAGGAGGGATTAGAGACCTCCAGGCTGACCCTGCCTGTGGAGCTGCCTCTCAGTGCCCACCTGGCACTTGGCCCCCAGCCCCTCCTGCACCCCCCAAGGCTGGCACAGGGCTGGGCACAGGGCAGCAGTGCAGAACAGCTCCTGCGCCCATAAGGGCTGGCACAGGGCAGCAGTGCAGAACAGCTCCCCAAGGCTGGCACAGGACAGCAATGCAGAACAGCTCCCCAAGGCTGGCACAGGGCAGCAGTGCAGAACAGCTCCCCCTTTGTGCCTGTCTGAGCTGCTGTGCCTCAGCTCTGCCCCTCAGTAGCAGGATCCTGTCCCTCCTCCCTGCAGATGCTCAGTGCCCATGGCAGCCCTGCCATGGAGACAGAGCTTTCAGAGCCTGCCAGCCTGGCAGGGAGGGCAGGGACAGCACTGGGGACGCTCCAGCCGGGCTCCCCTTTGTGTGTGTCCCTGCCTGGCTCGTGCTGGTGCCTTTGGATGCTGCTGCTGGATCAGGCTCCTGCTGGGAGCCTGTCATCACCCAGCGGGAGCTGCCGGCTGTGGAGGGGTGTTCTGCACCCCTGCCTGCCCCTCTGGGTGTCTGTCCATCCATCCTTCCACCTCCTGCCTGCTGCCCTGCCTGCCTGGGAAGGTTTTATTGGCAGGAGCGTTTGGCTGGGACTGTGCAGCTCTGGCCTGGCTCTCTGTTCCTCGTCACCATCAGAGCAGGGAGCTGAGGGCTTGCTGTGCTCCTGGTCCTGCTGGATTTCTCCTTTGTGGGATTGATGGGGGTTAGCCCGGTGAGGATGGAGATGAGAGATCTCTGCAGCCAGAGCTGGGAACTTGTGGGTTATTGCAAAGGGCCTGGGTGCAGGGCCCTGCTGGGAGCTGCCAGCCACAGCT